ATACTTAAAATCGTTGTCGTGCGACAAATGTAATATTAGCCTAAGAAATTGACTAATCACAGACTAATTACAGAAGAATAATCGATTGTGATTGGTCAATTTCTTACGACTTACGGCTTACGACTGTATTGTAGAATAGAGTCTTAAGAAAAAAAAAAAACAAAACAAATTTATATCGCGATTTGTGGCGTTGTGCGTCGTTGCGATAAACTACGTTTCGCTGACACCGCGGTAGAATTGCGCAAAACGTTGCAAATGCAAACACAAAGGGTTATCTCTTCCCTTCTTTGTCAGTTTGTCTACACATGTATGTTTTCCTCATTATCGCGATTCCGCGATTAAAATGTTTTTACCGCGAGCATCTAGGCGTTTCGTGCGGCGCGCGTGCGTCGTCGACGACGATGTATCAAACAAGAGAAGCGCACGGAAGGAGAAGGACAACGTTAACAATTATCGTATGGAATCGCAATTTCCCTGCTCGAACATGAGATTGCGAGTCTTGTTCCTCCCTCCCCCCCTCCCCAAGAATATAAAGGAAATATTGCGAATTTGTCAAGAGAGACATGTCAACATCCGTCACCCGATTGCTTTGATCCGTTTCTTGTCCCGAGCAAGAAATATAAAAGATACAGAAGAGTCACTGGCATAATATAAGAATAAGATAACGAAATGATTAAAATTAACGCGACTGAGAGAGCGCGAATTAACTTACATGTGTGTGCTGTGTGCGTGCGTGTGTGTGTGTGTGAGCGCGCGCACACTGTTGCAATACGCAGTAGATAAAGCCATCACGCGCATTCTCATTATCATATTAAATCCAGATATTCTCCTATGACATCAGACGTGCACCGTAAATTAGAATAAACTACATATACGATGATCTATTTTAGTAACTATGTAATTTGCAAGTAACTTTTGTACTTAGACAAAAATATAATAATTTATAACGCACAAACGATCGATACGTTTAAAAAAGGTATTTCAACGCACGTGTTCGAAGTTTTGTGATAAAAATGATGTTTAAAAATAAACTTTTATATTCCGTTTTTTTCAGAGAAAAGCAATTCACATAGATCGCGCGTTCGAAAATAAAGCTTTTGTTAAAAAAAAAAAAAGTCTAGTTCTGTTTTTTTCTAATAAAATTAATAATTGTAAAAAGAATTGCGTGTAAATCTTCCAAAACAATTGTACGGTACGTTATGTCTCTCTATGGCGTAATTTTTGCATGTAACGAATCTCCGACCGAGGCGAGTTTTTTTTTTTCTACAGCGCACTTTCACAACAACTCGCACTCTCATTGCAAAAACTGATAAAATAATGACGCGGATTACTTTGTAAATACAAGTACGCGATTACGGTGGCGCGTGCAACGCGTATATAAACCGTTTTGTGCGAAACAAGTTTTACTCCTGGTAAAAATAGCCTGGTGGCCATTGTTCGACGTTAAAAAAATTACGAAGAAAAACGCGTTCTCGCGCGAAAACGCACAGTTTTCGGACGCGGAAAAATTTTACGAACGACTTTTTTTTTTTGGCGACGCGAGACCAAACGTTTGCGTGTGTGCTGCGCTATATTGCGCAGTAGCGTCGCGTGTGTGCGCGAAGAACCTGCGACGGCGGGCTCCGAAATCGACCGGTTTGTGTGCGGAGTGGCGTCGTGGTTAAAGGAAAACGTTACGACGCGCGTCGAATTACGATCGTCGCGCGGAGAGAACGAGTGCACGTCCCAGTTTCGTCGTGTTGCCGGCGAGTTGCATCGACGATATAATACATACATGCACACACACATACACATACACGCACGCGCACACACACACACACACGTTGAAGGAAGGGCATCGCGCCGCGACGACGTTACGTACCTTACGTACGTACATACGTGTATGTATACAAGATGTTTTTCGCGAAATGGGGATCAAATACGTGTGACAAACAAAACCGTGACGAACAAAAATATCGCGACGTCTCCGGTAAGGCCGGTTAAATTGCGAGAAAATATCAGAAACGAGAAACTTACCGGTGCTACGCGTCGTGCGGGCTCCGTCAACTGCGCAGTTCACGGGCTAAAAGGCTTTCCGCAGGAACGTGACGCGCGTGGAGCGCGCCCGCGACGACGCGAGCGCGGAGAGAATAACAACGACATTGACGCCATCGCGCGGCATTTCGCGGAAACTCGAGCGGCCGCGATTTCAACTGTTTTTCGCGCGCGCACGCACGCACGCACTACGTCAATAAGCTTTCACATTTTCTCGCTGATTGCCAGCCAGTGCGCGCGGTGATGATGCTAATTACGTGTCACGCTGAACCTGATACCGTATCTCTCGCACACGCGAGACGATAATAATCGTGAGAAATGAAATATGAATTAAATTCACAAATTGACAATTTCCAACAATTTTGCATTTACGTCGCGCATCAGTCGCATATGAACCGTCCGATGACCCGAAATGTAAGGCGCAATATATATCGCGGTTTTTAAAATATCTTAAATAAAATATCCGATATACGAGGTTTGAAAATTACTTTTCTGTCGCGCAAAAAAAATTAAACAATATTCCAAATCGTACGTATCGCGGTAATTTAAATATGTGCGTTCGTGTGCATTTCTCGCATTTGTTAATACGAAATAAATATATGTGTTTAGATTTTTGGGAAAAAATAAACCGCTTAAGAGGGGCCTGGACCGTCCTGTTATTACCGATCGAAATAATTCGTATTAAGAGGTGTTTTTCGTAATTATTGCTCGGATAGAAAAACGGCTCTACAGAATTAAAGAAAATAATAAAATGTATTTCGGAGACTTTTCAATATATCAAAAATGTAACAAAAATTTTTGATTTACAATTAACATCAAAANTTTTTGTNACATTTTTGATATATTGAAAAGTCTCCGAAATACATTTTATTATTTTCTTTAATTCTGTAGAGCCGTTTTTCTATCCGAGCAATAATTACGAAAAACACCTCTTAATACGAATTATTTCGATCGGTAATAACAGGACGATCCAGGACCCTCTTAAATTTAGTAAAAAATTAGTAAGAGGTAATTGAAATAGCAGCTGAAACCTTAGGTTACAGGGGAGAGAGGGGGACAGCGATAGGACATCCAACAAGCCGTTCGTTTTGGACGCTTACGCGCTTTAAGCGTCCAGTGACTACGTTTACACGTAACTGGTAAAACCGTTTTTTGGTACAAAACCGGACTTAGATGTCCGTTTACAGGACACCTAAGTCTGGTTTTTACCTAAAACGGTTTTAGTAACATCAGTACAAGGAACGTTTACAGGACATCTAAGTCCGGTTTTGTACTAGAGACATCTAAAAACAACGGTTTTTGTTAAAACGGTTTTACCCAGTACGTGTAAACGTGGTCAGTATGTCTTTATTGTTTTTTCAAATCTAGAACAAAGATAAGCCTCTTGCACAATGGACGGAATAGCGATAGCGATGGAAACAACAAAAGTTTTAAAGAGTTTATATTTAAAAATAAAGGTGGGAACAGCGGAATCTAACATACAAAACTACACATGTCATCAATGCAGATCAGAAAATCGGAATAAGCAATAGCTAAATAAAATTTCCGACGAGTTGGAATTCTGTGTTATTTAAAAACTGTGTTATTTCTATCGCTATCGCTATTCCTTCCATTGTGCAAGGGGCTATAGACTAGTGCTCGAAGCGCGTAATCGCACCCAAAGTGACGCACCCTAAAGCCTATGTCACACTACGGATTGGGATTGAGATTGGATTGAAATTTGACCAATCAGAAGAAAGAAAACCAAGTTTACTGATCTTCGCTCTGGGATTGACCCAAATTGCAATCCAATTTCAATCCAAATCCGTAGTGTGACATAGGCTTAAGGGGCCCTCCCTAACTGGCCATCGTGGGGGGAGGGTTTTAGCCGGCACTCATCGGAGGGGTGAGGGTCCATCCATAAGGATTTCTCTCACCCCCCCCCCGTAAAAAACCCCCCCGTAGTGTGACATAGGCTTAAGGGTTCCGGGGCCCTCCCTAACGTGACTGGCCATCGTGGGGGGAGGGTTTTAGCCGGCACTCATCGGGAGGGGTGAGGGTCCATCCATAAGGATTTCTCTCACGTAAAAAAAAAAAAAAAAGGAGCCGAGTATATAAGAGACACACATACCTGAGAATAATCGGGTAAACCTATTCTCTCTGCACTTGGAGGAAAAGGACAAGTTGAAATACGCGAAGACAAATTTGACTAACTTCGAGCAGAGTCATGAGTCAAATATAAAAACTTGCTCGAACGTACTGCCGACTTAACCAACACCGTAAATGAGTATTATACGCGATGTTTATACCGTGACGCGCGATATTGACACGCCCCGTTGACTCTTTTCGAGACACTTTTTTGCGATCCGGTCGCCATACGCGCGCGCGAGACTTAACTTTCGTTTGCAATTGCGGAGAAATAAATAACGGAACGCTTTCTCGACTTACAGACGCGCAAGACGAATTCCACAAGTGACAGTTTAAAATTCAAGAAACGCGCAGTAGTATCGATATACGTATTGCGATTCTCGCGATATCGAAGATAGAAGTAGGGCGCGGCGCGCCATCACTCGGGACGGGAGTGAAATCTCTCGCGCCTCGCGCGCCATCTGTCGGAAGGAATGCCAAGCCGAGCCCCACACAGGCGCCAACTTGACCGCACAAAAACACGAGCCCTACCGAACGGCATCCCCTCATCTGCCCGCGCCCCCCCATCAACGTGGATCTTTGTCAATACAAATTGGGGTGTCGCGTGGCCATTCAAAAAAAAAAAAACAGAACAATGCCGATTTATGATCGAATCGATGCGATTGTTTGGCGCGAAACGCGATATCAATCAAGAGCGCGCCCTCTTTGCACAACATGGTGTAATTCGGCCGAGCGCGCACGCAAGACTCTCTCCGTCATTCTCATGGCAGGTTTGCGTCACGCGCGAACACACTGTCAGCGTTAGAGTTTGATTTGTCCGAGGAATCGGAAGGACTCACCGTCTCGTTCTCGACGATGCACATTGGCTCCATTTCCATGATGTTCCGCACAAACCGCTTTCGTACACTTATTGCTCAGGAACAATTATGACGATCAAGCGACACTGATCCCGATGGCGAGCGCCCCGTAACAATTCGCGACGGCAACGTGTGTCTGTTTACAAACACTGCAAGGTCACATCAGGCCTCCTCCTCCTCCTCTTTTTGTCCTCCCGTGCCGCCCCCGCTCGCTTCGTCCGCTGCGCTGAGTCCGCGTTACGTCACACACGGGTTAGCGCGAATGTGGCGACGACACTTGGCGGAAGCCCGAATCTTCCTGCACACACAAACAAAAATTCGCAAACACAATTGAGATATCAAAAACACGATGATATAAAAAAAAGCATGAGATTGAAAACAACAAAAATACAAAATGTAACAAAATCGAGATCGGAAACAAATAATTCTTGAAAAATAAAAATTATAACCAAGAGATCAAATATGCGAGTAAAACGTATATTCGACGGATTTTTCGAGACATCTCGTAAATTTGCTGCGATTGAGAAAAACAAATGAAAATTTTAATTCTGTCTGTAATCTATCTGTCTGTTATTGGAAATTGGAAAGAAAATACTAAAAAAAATTATTTATCTTTTCTGCTTTATTTAAAATTTTTGTGAATGTAAAATTGCGATTAACGTAAGTTTAATTTTCTTATTAAAAAAAAAAAAAAAAA